CGCGGGGCCCCACGGCGGAGCCGCTTCGCCCGGCGGTCCAGTTAAGGGTGGCCAAGTAGAGGCAGCGCGGTTTCCACGACAGCCACGCAGATTTTATCCTCTGCCAGCCGAGACAAAAGAGCATGACGAGCGGGCCAGTGGGGCCAATCAGCGGAGTGTGGGGGCGGGCTCCCCGAGCGGTCTGGGCCCTGAGGTCGGTGCATGCCCAAGGGGGTGGGTGCGCAGAAGACCCGCGCGGTCACAAGTGCTGGCAGGGCTGGTGACTGAGCCAATTTGCGTTTTACCGGAGAGCTGGCGACTCGTTCTCCCTCTCTCCACCCTTCCCTTCTCCATCTCCCCTTCTCCCTTGACTTGACTCTGTTTTGAGGTCAGGTGCATTAAACACGAGACGGGACTGAAATGGGGGGAGACGGGAGGGGGAATAGAACGTTAGCGCTGTCGTTATGCAAGTAGCTTGCATAGACAACTGTTTTTTATTGTGAAGTAGGTGGCAGCATGTCACCTATTAACAGGGAACTTGGAGCCTCGAGCCTCTTAACCAATACTCACATACTATAGGGGAGAGACTGGATGCATCAAAAATTATTTCGGGGAGTACCAGGCCGCATAGCGTGGTGGTTAAAGGAATCAGATTTCAACCTCCGGTTGGAATCCTGGTCCTGAAAACTTGAAAAAACACACCTGGCACCTGTGAACAGTGTGCCCCAAATCTGAACAGGATGGAGAAATGGAGAAGGGATTGAGGTATGACCATGTTCCACTGAGGAGCCCCTCTTCCCTCTCTCTGTTTCTCTCTCTCTGGCAAGCACATACACCCTCTGGCAATTAAAAAATTGAATCATATTAGGGAGCTTGTTAGAACTGCAGATTCCTGAATCCTGTTTCTGGAGAATTCCGATTTACTAGGACTAGGGTTTGGGGTGTGTGTGTATTTTACGTTTATTCCTTTATTTCCTCCATGAGGAAGAGAGAGAGAGAAAGAGAGAGCCCCCAACGGGGTCCTGATGACATGATCCACTTTAGCTTTCAGTCAGCCCGGGATCATGAGCAAGCTGTGCCTAGCCACTCGGAGTGTTCAGCCAGCCAGGAACTTTCCCATGTAGGATGGCCCTGCAGAGGCCTTGTGTTTGACTTCTGTGACCTGTCTGGCCCCAGAGGTTTTGTTTTGTATTACAGTTGATTCTGAAGTATACAGAGGTTTGTGCATAAAGAAATCTCTGGTGTATTTGTCCACAGTGTATCTGTGGTAAAATGCCATTCCAGAATAGATGTTCCTACTCAGGGCCATGATCTGAAATTGTATGCAAAAATTTTGGGCTCTGTAGAAAGCTGAATAATGGCCACTCAAATATATCGAATCCTAATCCCCAGAACCTATAAAAGTTACCTTATAAAGTAAAATGTCTTCGAGACCAGCAGTTAGTGTAATGGCGATGTCACTGGACTCCCATGTAGTCGACCATGCTTCGAGTCCTGGACCCGATGGCTTAAACTCATGCTGGGCGCGTGTGCATGCGTGTCCAAGATTCCAAGAGGAGAATGGAGGAGAAGGGATTGCAGTATGGCCATCCCCCCTGGGGGGAGGTGATTTCTCGCTTTCTGTCTCCCTGTCTCTCTCTGTCTTTCTGGTAAGTGCACATGCCCTATAGCAAAAACCTCTCCAAAAAAAAGTAAAAGGGTCTTTGTAGTTGTGATTGAGTTAAGGAACTTTATGATTATCCAGCTTGGCCTTCCATCCAGTGGTGGAAGGGCTAAACCAGCTCTCTGGGGTCTTTTTTAGAAGGACACTAATCCCATTCAGGAAGGCTTTGCTCTCCTGACATAATCACCTCTCCGAAGTCCCACCTCCTAATACCATCACCTTCTGGGTTAGGATTTCAGCATAAGAATTTTGCTGGACACAAACATTTAGACCATAGAGCCATAGAAAACGAATATAAATTATTTTTTATAAGACCACAGTTTTATAGATTTTTAAATAGGTCTGTGGGTCAGTAGTAGTTTAAACACACACACACACCCATACACAAAGGGCCAGCTGGTGGCGTGATGGTTAGATCGCATGTGTCTGATTGAACAGTTTAAATTCCAGACCTGGAGGATTGAAAAACATGCCAGGTGCATGCATGGGCATGCATTTTTTTGGGCATGCATGCCCAAAATCCTGAGAGAGGAAGGGATTGTGGCATGGCTATCCTCCTTGGAGTGTGCTTTCTTACTTTCTCTTCTTTGTTTCTCTCTCTCCCTCCCTCCCTCTGGTGAATACATGTGCCCTATTGCAAATTTGTGAAGTTTTTAAGGTTTTTCTGCTCCCCACATAGGCTGCATGTGCTTGCTAGAGAAAGACAGTAAGAACGAAAGTGAGAAATCACCCTCCCAGGGAGGATGACCATGCTTCAGTCCCTTCTCCATTTTCATCCTGGGATACTGGTCATGCATGCGCATGTACCCAGCATGATTTTCAAGCCACCAGGTCCACAACTGACATAGTGGTTAGCCATGTTGGGAGAGTCCAGTGCCTTAAACACTGTGCCACCTGCTGGCCCTAAATTTTTGTAAATGTTTTAAAAATTAGGAAAAAGAAACACTTCCCTACAATTTTTCTTCATTAAATTCTCTCTCCTTCTGGGACCAGCAGTTGGCGAAACCTAACACAGGCTTAAGGATTTCACAGGGTCACTCTAGATGTAGGTCCAGACAGTGTCAGGAACTAATGGATTGCATGATTTAAGATAGAGGATTTTGGATATCAGTTCATTCTTAAGGATTGTTAAAATGTCTTGTTCTGTGTTTTAAAGTGAACCACTTCCCCAGTACAAAAAGCTTAATCTGCTGAAATGAGGGCTTTTCAATTTGTGCCATCAATGACAGAATCCTGCCACCAATGGTTTCAGAATTCAAAGTTCAGAAAATGCAAAGGTTCCCAGCATTCTCCACCCTAGGACTGTGGGCCTTCGT